CGATCAACGCTTCGATGATGTTCGGAGAGGTTTCGGTGAAGAATTCGAGTTCCTTGTAGTGAAGAGCTTTCGCATAGGCATGGAACCTCATGGCATACTCTCCCAGGGTGCGATGCTCGATGGGGAGTGGCTTCTCCTCGTGTTCCATGAACTCAGCTAAGCTAAGCAGCCGGTGCACGAGATCAGATGGAGCAGTAGTGGAGGTGATGGCGCATTCGATGGATCGCACAAGTCCTTCCTGATTAAGCGGTTAGCATGAATCGGTTACGAGTACAAAGTGGATTTACTTGATACTGATCATAGAGTTCTGTCCAGCAGGATATAAATGCTGCATTGAACAATTCTTTCGCTAAAGGAGGGTGAATATCGACGAGACTCATGCAAGCCCGAAGTGCATGAGACGGAGACTCCTTCATCAACTCCACAGAAAGGCGGTGCATCCACTCTGTCCAATCCTCCCTTGTGCTCACAGAGGACACGTCCCACGCTTGCTTCAGATGCTGTTGGTTCACAGTCAATTTAGCAGCTTCCGCAGGTACAGAAATTTCTGCGGCCTTGGATTCGCTGAAGGCACATCAGGAACTGACGTCGTGAAGTTGCCAAAAAGAGACGCACAGCAAGTCATGAGTGCCCGGCTCTTGCGGTAGACGTTCCCCATTCAGGAGCTTCGATATCAAATTCTCGTACCGGGGATGAGGTATACGATTCCGAAGCAGGCACTATCTTGCTGTCAATAATCTAAAAAGGAGGAATAAAATTAGTGATACGCACCTTGTTGATAGTGGGCACGAAGATAGCAAAGTCGGATCCAAGTTGGACAACCAGCGCGCATAAGGTGTCCATCACCGCCTGCCGAAGCTCGTTGTTGTTCCCCTCTAGCACACGGATCAAGGGGTGCACAATGCGAGAAGCATGGTCAGAGAAGTTGACGCGCAGGGATAAATGTGCTATAGTCTGTATTGCTTTCTTGCGGAGCAGGGTGGTAGCATCCGGCCGTTCAGCAGATTTGACAATGACGGGAATGACGAGGTGAAGGTACTCTTCAATATTTGCCCCGAACGTAAGGAAAGAATCGAAAATCTTGATTTGAGTAGCCATTTTCTTCTCGAGGTCTCCTTCAAAGACTTTGAGAAGATGAGGCAGGATAGTTGGTAGAAATGGTTTGAACTCGGCGTCCAAAGCCTTGCCCAGCGCTTCGATCAAAGATACTATTGGAAGCTGAAGGGATGCATTCTCCCAAAGCTCCGTCACGAGGCCAAAGACCTCTGGCATATAATTGCGGATATGTTGCTTAATGATCCCGACCAGAATAGCCAATTGCTGCAGGTGAAATTCTTGCAGACGCGCTGTGGAGGTACGAGCCACAGCGGTGAAAGCAGGAATGATCTTTCGAAACATTTGGGTCAGTACAAAATTTGGTTACGCAGCAGGAAAAGAACCGACACACCTGCGATAGGAACGCCACACATTTCAACCCTTGCGTCCTGAAAATATTCATGATTGCTTCGATGACGGTGTGGTGATGATTGCTAAGTGACTGATCCTTCAAAACAGCCAGAAGAGACGTGATCACGACCGTCTGGTAGTAGTCGTCGCTACCTGTCAATGATCCTGTCTGAGAAATGGCGACAGCATTGACAGCAGGAAGTGGCGTTTCATTCGTGGTTTCCTCGTCCGGCCTCGTCTAAGGATATGTCAATAACTTGAAGCGAGGAGGCACATACCAGACAAACCTTCCGCCTGTATGGATCCAGAGCTCCAAGGATACCGAGAACTTTGACTACTTCTCTTACGACTTCGCGGCGTGCATGCGGAGCGGATTCGCTTCTCAGAATGCGTCCCAAGATCGGAAGCAACTGAGGATAGTCTACTAGGGGTGTTATGACATACCCAGTACTAGAGCACAACTGGCCAAGAGTATGGAGCGCAGCGTCACGCTTGACATGAGCAGGATCGGAGAGTCTGGAGATGATGACCTGCATGAGCTCCGGGATATGAGGAGCCACATCTTCCCCGCCAACAGCTGCCAGTTCCCCGAGACACATGAGAACGTTGGCAGCTACAGCCGGGTTGCTATCATTCGCCTTCTGCAGGAGGACACGGAGCATGGGAAGTGCGTATGGCTTTATGAGACGTTGAGTCGCGCCCACTAGGAGAGTGAGAAGGCGGGTGCAATCTTCGCGGTTTCGCCTGTAAAAGGATTCATGATTTGTTCTAGGATACTGGATCAATGCACGCACATCACAGTTGAATATTCTAACTCTGTCAATAGTTGTATCAAGGCCTTGCGCAAGGAGGGCATGACGTAGGCAGGGTTATGCTTGGCAAGACGTCCGATCAAAGTGACAGCAGTAACACGATTCTCGAAGACCTCGTCATTGAGGGCGATAAAAATTGACCTGACATTCTCCGCCTGGGCCAGATGCTTATCAAACCGTTCATGAAGGGAGGACAGAACAGTTTGCCGAATGGTAGGGTCTTCAAATAACATTAATTATGTCAAATGATTTGTAGGAGAAACAAATGAACTAACCTGGGTCTGCAATGCCTACTGTGAGGAGTTTGTCGAGAACGTCACTGATTATTTCGATCGCATGACTGCTCGCTTGGTAGCAAATTGGGTCCCTGACGAACAGCCTGCAACAAGTGAGAGCACCAGCTCGTCGGACGTCTGCAATGTCGTCTTCCAGATAAGGAAGTGCGGCATTGCGCACAAACTCGTTCAAGATATGACCTGCTCATGTTGAGTACATTATGTTAAATAGCGGCAGGGTACCTTACCGCTGAAGTCAAATGTGCCAAGCGTGGACAACGCAAGTGTGATGAGCTCAGGACTCTTACCACTCTTAGTAGTCTTCGCGAGTCATGTTTAATACGATCGACAGATGTGCTAGAAAACTCACCTGAGATGAGCTCAAGTCTCTCGTAAACGCCGAGACATCACTCCTGACAAGGGAAGATGGAGCTCCAATGGCTTTATATGGCTGTCCACATAAGATCATGGAAAGCAGATCCAGTAAACGGTCTGACGATGTGTTTGTTTCAATAAGAATGGCATGTGCCACGCCAACTGACGCACCTTGAATGGTCTTTAGCAAAGGTGGAATATTACGTGCAATGGCCATCAGCGCCTGTCTAAGAGGCTCACTCAGCCCGCACGCAAAGAATAAATCAAGTTGATCGTGAAGAAGCTTCGTGAGGTTTGGACCGACAGCCGAAGCAAGCATTCCGACGCATTGGAAAATAGGTTCTTCAGAGGGTGCATTCTTCTTTCTATAGGAAGAATTCTGATGACTGAATACCACAGTCTGTATATGACGTACCCCCTGGCTTGTAGACCAAACTTAATTTGAGCCATGATGGAGTCGAGGAAAGGTTTCATATCACTTCCAACAGCAGTGGCAGTGTGACCAATGGCAATGAATGCTGACAAAAACAAATCAACATATAACATTTTGACTGATAGAGAAATGCGAACCAAAGGACCTTTCGTTTGGCTTTTCCAACTGTGTTAGTAGATGTCCCATGGATTTGTGCAGGTGATGTTCCGAGAAAACCTGCGTTTCGTAGGCAGCGAGAGTCGGGATTAGGGTGATGACCATCTTGCGAACAAGACCATCACGATGTGATTTGAAGCGAAGAATTTGTTCCGCGGTATCCAAAAACGATTCTCTCATGAACTGAAGGCAAATTTAATTCAAATGCGATGAGGGTGTTGAAATCACTTGCCATATCGCCATGCAACAATAGTTCTCGGTATGTGAGAAGAGAACCGTGAATGACCTCTGGTTGTGACATTTTGAGTCCTAGTTGCGCGTCCTGAAGAATCTTCATGAGGTAAGTTGTGCGTGTCTGCCTTTCACGTGTCGTAACAATCTCAAGGCATGCAGCAAGAAGCTCTGCAGCTCCCTCTCTGACAATGTTTCGAGAATCCCGAAGAGGTATGAGTATCTTATCAAATACGAGGCTGATGTGGGAATGAAAATATATCGCACTGTTGCGTGCGAGTTCCTTGAGGATGAGCACTCCAGCATAGCGGGGAGACTCTTGCTTGTCACCCTGTAACAACTCTACTGCGGCTGGAACTTCTAAATCCATAAAGCGTTCCCCGAAGTCGGCCCCGCCGATTGCAGCAATTTGGCCAAGCGTCTTGGATGCGGCAAGCATGATGTTGACGTCGTGATTTGGCAATAGCTGCTTGACGTAGTTGTAAAACCGAAAGAGGTACTTCTTTGAACCAATAGTGTCCTCTCCTTCACTTTCAAGGAGGTGATCTAAGTGACATGAGCTATAAAGTCATGGTATCATGAATTTTGGACGTACCTATGGCCAGAAGTCCGCCTAATCTATCTACATTATTCTGGCTGTGCATTAGGTCAAACAGGCGTTTGTTGATATCGTCATCCCAAAGCTTTGCTACCGCATCAGATGGCATTTCTGCGACAGTCATTGCAACCTGCTGGACCATGAGAGGTGACTCGCACGCATGAATGATGAACACACATAACGACGTAACTCCGTTGCAGCTTGCAATCGAGCATCGTGGGCAGGGCTCCGCAGGCCTTGGAAGATCTGCCCGAGGTGATCCGTGTGCGCATACTGAGTTACGGACGCCATACTTATCGTCGCCAGCGTCCTGGATATCTCACTGCGCCTGCAGTCCGACTACAGGATTGTAATAAGCTGTAGACACTAGAAGAACTGCAAGAGGGAAGACTATTTACGGCACAACCTGATCCGTCCTGTTTACGTCTATTGAATTCAAAAGATTATCACTGTCACAAGCTCAACGTTCAACGTCGTTCAAAGCTGAACCAATGCCGCCATTGCATCCTTGAGCTTGAATCCTGACCATGGCACATATTGGAGGAACCACTAGTTTCATTCGTCTATAGTGCCTAATTCAAACACAAAAGAGCTGCAGTTTCTGTTCAAGGGCATGACGATGGCCTGGAAAAGCAATGAGTGGTAAAATCCTACCAAAGCGGATCAAGCATCATGGCCTGGTGGTCTAGTAGTATGATTCCTTGTTAGGGCGTTCGTCAATTTCGAGGAGGTCCCGGGTTCAATTCCCGGCCAGGCCCCTTTTTTTTTTGTTTGCTTTCACTGGCAGGAGTAGTGCGTTAACACTGCCAGTTCTGAGTTGATAGTATGCAAGATCATTAGGCCTCAATTTTCTCAATCCCTTCCGGTATCACGCGACGTTGTACTACTTGACGCATGTCAGTTAAATGTCACTATCCGCAGCAGCGGCAGCGGCGCAGCCCCTGCGCAGTTTCATTGTGCTCGGGGTCCGCCCCTTTTTGCACTGGGGTTAATGACTATTTCTAACAAGTACCTACTGAACTTGAATGCACCACTGTCAAAATGATACTGCAGAGCAAAGAAGAACCGCAGCTATCGACCACTACGCACATTCAAGATGATAAGGAACTCTTATCATCGCATATTCCAGACGGTGACCCTCCGCCGTACAGTAATATCGCGTCAGGTTCTGCTGTGGTACCGGCTGTCGTAGGGCTCGCCAACTTGAATGCGCCCACACTGAAGACCATTCGGCTAGAAAAGCACCATGAGTCGATATCCGGTGAGGCCATCACTTATGTATTCTGCCCCTGCGTTTATCTTAAGTTTGGCCCATGCAGGAACGTACATCATTGACCCTGAGTCAGGAGACGAGCCACCCGCTCCACAAGGCTTTGTAGCCAGGCACAGTGATCTAGTAGGGCTAAGGAAAGCGGCCGACTTTCTCTCTGCAGCACCACACGCCGTCTTTCGCAATCGGTTCGGGTCTATTTTTCTGACTCTAGCGACCAAAGGATCATCAGAACAATGCCATCGGGCAATAATCGACGTTTCGACCCGCCATGGGGACATTTCCGTTAACTTGGTGAGTAGTAGGAATTCTAAATTTCATCTCCATAATGTTGAGTCTCATGTTTCTGGAAACAGAGCTCTGTACATCCTGGTAAACGCATCACCCTAAAGGTAACTTCTAGAAGAGGTGAGTTGAAACCGATGGTGTTGGCAGCGCTAGTTCGTGCGCACAGAGGGTCCGATGACAGTAGTGCCGTGTCCTTCGGATTCCACATGGGCAACCATGGAAAATCTCGTTTCTACACCTAAATCTATCTCTTCTATGTCACACATCGAAAAGTGACATCGACGCTCAGCTCTTGTTCTGCGTCATACTTATTTGCAATTTGTACTGACACGCTTCTGTATTTATCAGGCAAGATGGTAGTACTGCTTCCCCCAACTTTTTGCGGAGACGTGCAGATACGCAGTGGCAAATTGGGTGGCTATGACATTCTCCCAGGATTGTCTAGCAGCATCCGCAGCATGAACGGGAAGAAGACAAAAACGTTGTTGCTTGTTGGCAACGGTACCCCAGGGGGTGAACCCATGGATCACTGTCGTCTCTCCTCACGCCATGGAAGGATTGTCGTGGGCTTAAGCGGGCAAGACAGCATGCCAACACCACAGCGAGAGGATAACATTTGGAGAAAAATAGGTGCTTTTTTCCGCGGTGGTGAAAGTACGGGAAGTTCTTCGCAGGATCTCGCACGACCTTAGTTGACCTCACGACCAGGTTCTTGAGATTGTGTAGATACACACGAAGTAGCGCCTGATTCAATCTTCTATCACAGATGAACGTGAGCAATCGTACGCGTAGACTTACCTAACCCCGATGGTACCGGAGTACGGATCACACTCTATTCCGCGTTCGATATGCACCAGGTGTCAAGCGCCGAATAGTTGATAAACTCAGTCATGTTACCAGGGACCCCATTTAGTGACCCCCCACTCTTTGCCCCACTTTATCGCTGTCTCTCTGATGTCCTTAGACGCTTCTGATGCCAATCACCATAGCGGGTGCCTTTCTCTAAGACGCTTGTTCAAGTTGAAACCTCAACGCGTGCCTAAGAGTTCCTCCAAACAAGCCAACTCATCCCATATATATGATCAGACGCGGAAGGCGTCTGATTCAGAAAGGGACGTTGATATCGTATGTTTTGTCTGCATCATTTTGCGCGCAACTTACCCCTTTGCCTCCCATAGACCGATCTGACCTCTCGCGTGTTTTACGATACGTGCTGTGACTTTGGAAGCAGCAGATTCAATACTGCAGCATGCCAATGGGAGGCTCCTCCCGTATATTCAGATCAGCCTTCTCCTAGTGATTCTATACGCGGAGAAATCAGGCACACCATCGAAACCATGGTCAACACACTCGATTCCTCCCTACGATCACTAAGTCTCCAGATCCACAGTAAGCTGCAAAGCTCTGGCCTCGCCTATACTTTCTGACCGTGGGAGTCAGGTCATCCAGAATTGATGTTTGAAGAAATGTCTGCAGCAACGTGTATTCTATACGCATGGCATATCACTGATGGAATTCTCACAGATTTGCTCACAACCTTCTGTCTGATTACATGGAAAGCCACGGGTTTTCCGTGACGAGGCATTATCTCGGCCTCAAGACTGCTTGGAAGGCTGAATACACCCACGGAAAGGGAGGTAGAACCCTTGGAATTAACTCGGAGATGGATGCCTTGCCTGAGATTGGGCATGCATGTGGCCACAACCTCATTGCAATCAGTGGGGTAGGTGTGGCATTAGCTATAAAATCCGCATTGCAAACCTACAACGTTCCTGGCACAGTCGTTCTTCTAGGAACCCCAGGTAACGAGTTCGAATTCGGCCCGACACGAGGTACTCATTTCTCCCTCAGCTGAAGAAGGCGGTGGAGGAAAGATTATCCTGCTTGAGCGAGGAGCCTACAAAGGGATGGATGCGTGCTTAATGTCCGTGTTCCCAGCTGAATGCATTCGGAACATCACTGACTCATGCGCCAGGTGTCATCCGTCCCCTGGACCCGAGCTGTCTTCGTTTGTGGTATCTTCGCTGGCGATGCAATCTATAGATGCCGAATTCTTTGGGCAATCGTGAGTCCTGTGGTGCATATATGGTCTCATGAGCTAATCTGAAACAGCGCACATGCTGGAGATGCTCCATGGGAAGGTGCCAACGCACTTGATGCGGCGTTCTTAGCATATTCCAGTGTCTCCGTGTTACGACAGCAGATTAAACCTGACCACAGGGTAAATGGCGTCATAAACGGCAGTGAGAGAGCTGCGAACGGTACGGTCTAGCAACTTCTAGCTTTGAATAATCCAGCGAGCCTTTTACAGTGATCCCTGACTACGCCAAGATGAGGTGGTATGTCCGAGCGCCGACACGAGACCAGTTGACGCAACTGACAGAAAGAGTGTCCGCCTGTTTTGAGTCAGCCTCTATATGACAATTATACAGTCAACAGCATCTTACAAGGTCTACAGGGGTGCTGCATTGGCAACTTCCTGCCGTCTCAAGATCACGAAGAACACGCCCTATTACGATTTACGGCAGAATAGCATCCTCGGTAACTCGTCTTCTCAGATGTTTTTAATCGATCGAATAATTAACATTTGTATGTAGCGACTGCCTTCTCTCATGCAATGACTGAACAATCTGGCATGAATGTCGGGCAATACCCCTCAGGGGCATCCACAGATTTTGTATGTTCAGCTATTAAACCTCCCGACACATACGCATTAACAAACTACTTTCTAGGGTAACGTTTCATATGGCAAGTGCATCCCTCCGAGGCCGCATGGCCAATTTATACTCATGGTATTTTAGTCTTGCCCTCGCTACATCCAGCTTTCGGTATGTTATGCGGTACGACAATCTCTACACTTATCTGACGGTCCTCGATGCGTGCACTAAAGCTATCCCTACGCGGCCCAATGGGGGGAACCATTCGCCAGCATTCGCTGATTCTGCGCGAACCACGGAAGCCCATAAAGCATGTATTGATTACCTACCAAGGCCTTGGCGTGTACGGGCTTCCGTGTCCTAGAAGACAAAGTTTTTTTCAAGCGGGTATGTGTATTGCCTATTGGTTGATCTCAGTCAACGTGCCGTCGTGTTCATCATATTTTTGACAGGTATGTGAGGCCTTCGAGGCCAGCATTTGAATCCATAACGGAGAGCTTATTAGCGTTTGTACGTTTAAAATGAGGATTCAGATTCAGAGATAGGTAACTACCGCACCATGTATGTACTTATATGTAGAGTATCACAGAAAAATTCATCGCAAATCCCGTTCGATAGCCGTTTGAAAGAATAGTCATAAAAATCAAAAGCAGTCTAAGATCCGATCGCATATGTAACGATGACGCGTGCCCCTCACTTCACTCCAAACCCCGACGGTCTCAGCATTAAGGTGTACGGGTCTCTGAATCTCCCTCAGCCTGCATCTTCATTAAATGTTCGACTTCAGCCGGCGATAACTCAGGCGTTGTGTTACCTTCTCTTCTGGCTTTTCCACGCAGATGGTGATGCTTTGATTTGCCCTCTGCTGCTTCTGCGACCATTCTATAATGCAAAATAGATGTAAAATAGAAAGTTGACGTGAGCATTTGTCACCGCGGATCAACTTAGAAGCCGAACGTACCGCTCGAGTTCGCGTCGAACCTCGTCACTCTCGTCGGGAACCGTGCTCTTGAATATATGACCCATGATCATCAATCCCTGAACAAAAAACGAGGTAGAATTGACGTCATGTCGACGTTTAGATGCGAATACGATCTCCGAATGACGAAATTATGACACACCTTCGCGCGGTGAAACAAAACCTGATCGGACGCCTCTTTATCTTTGAGCACGTTATCCACAACCTGAATAGGAATGGTTCAACTGCTGCACACCCGTAAGCAACCCTTGGGCGCACCTCCCGGAGAACCTGAACGACTTCGAAACGCGTGCCTCGCCAAGACGCTAGCATGATCTGGTGTGTGTCAACTTATCTCGCCAAAAGATCGACTGTATTGCGAAGCACACGGACCTTGCCTGTGACATCCTCTTCTAGTGCCCGCAGCACGTCCTCATCAAGCTCTCCCTTCTTCTGCAAGCGGTCCATCTCGGACATGAGAGACTGCACGCTAAATCTGTTGACATATGTCGTGAACGTGTGAAAAGGACAGTATAAATGAGAAACGAACGCGCTTCCGATGACACCCCATGCGTCTTTTGCCAC